ACAAACTTCGGACAGGCTCCCTCTAACATTCTTCAAAAAACCTTACATGACACCTCCTCCTGAGAAACACCTAAAAGGTAAGAAATATATTAAAAATGTAGGCATGCTGAGTGAACGGGAACATATAACATACAAATGGTGGTGTTTTCTCAAATATGACTGCAAAAGTGGAAAGGGTTAACCCTTTGAGGACCATAAGATTCCGGAACGCCAAAAGAATCAATTTTTTGTTTTTAAAGTTCGTACACTTCAGTTGCTGTAACTAAGCCATTTCATGAAATAATTGGCAAAAAGCTAGATCCATTTGTTGATAAGAACTAATATTTTTACTCAAACCAAAAGAAAAAAAGTATTTTAAGTTCTTAATCAGATGATACAGGCAATTAAAAACATGGGACAAATACGTCCCTTGGTCCTCAAAGGGTTAAAGAATAAATCCACTTATTTTGGAAAATACAATCCCCTCTGGGTGATCAGTGTACATTGCAAAGATTTGAAAAAACTTTGTAGCCTTACAAGTTTCTGTTGTTAAAGCGCAACTATACTCACCTCAGTTCCAGTGATGCAGCGTCCCTCTGGTCCCCTTCCAGGTCTCAATCACTGGCCGTGATCATTGGCCGAGTGGGGATGACATTACTCCCACGCATGCACGGTGGTTCACTCAGATTTGGCATTGCTGAATTTGAACATTGAGCTGCTCATGCGCGGCTCACTGTATAGGGGCAGACAGGCAGGTAAATAACTTTAATGCAGAAGCGACAAAGCAAAATTCCTACTTGTCTGCCAATTTTTATTATTTTAGCAAAAGTTCCAATTTAAGAAAAAGTTGTATGTTCTACTACTTCCCTGGAAGACTGACTCCAGAATGGTATGTGTTCAATTGAATCAGCTGATATACACTCACCGGTCACTATATTTAGAACACCTTGTTAGTACCGGGTTGGACCCCCTTTTGCCGTCAGAACTGCCTTAATTCTTCGTGGCATAGATTCAACAAGGTGTTGGAAACATTCCTCAGAGTTTATGGTCCATAGTGACATGATAGCATCATGCAGTTGCTGCAGCTTTGTCGGCTGCACTTCCATGTTGCGAAGCTCCCATTCCACCACATCCCAAAGGTACTGTATTGGATTGAGATCTGGTGACTGTGAAGACCAGTGGAGTGCAGTGAACTCATTGGCATGTTCAAGAAACCAGTTTGAGATTATTTGAGCTTTGTGACATGGTGCGTTATCCTGCTAGAAGTAGCCATTAGAAGATGTGTACACTGTAGTCATAAAGGGATGGGCATGGTCAACAACAATATTCATTTAAAAGATGCTCAGTTGGTACTAAGGGGCCCAAAGTGTGTCAAGAAAATATCTTCTACACCATTACACCACCATCACCAGTCTTAGTCGTTGATACAAGGCAGGATGGATCCATGCTTTCATGTTGTTTGCGCCAAATTCTGACCCTACCATCTGAATGTCGGAGCTGAAATTGAGACTCATCAGACCAGGCATGTTTTTTCCAATCTTCTATTGTCCAATTTTGGTACACCTGTGTGAATTGTAGCCTCTGTTTTCTGTTCTTAGCTGACAGGAGTGGCAAGTGTGGTCTTCTGTTGCTGTAGCCCATCTGCTTTAAGATTCGACATGTTTTGCGTTCAGAGATGATATTCTGCATACCTTGGTTGTAACGAGTGGTCATTTGAGTTACTGTTTCATCTTGAACCAGTCTGCCCATTCTCCTCTGACCTCTGACCTCAAAAAGGCATTTTCACCCACACAACTGCCACTCACTGGATATTTTCTCTTTTTCGGACCATTCTCTGTAAACCCTAGAGATGGTCATGCATGAAAATCCCAGTAGATCAGCAGCTTTTGAAATACTCAGACCAGCCCATCTGGCACCAACAACCATGCACATTCAAAGTCACTTAAATCCCCTTTCTTCCCCAGTCTGATGCTTGGTTTTTACTTCAGCAAGTCGTCTTCACCACATCTAGATGCCTAAATGCATTGAGTTGCAGCCATGTGACTGACTGATTAGCAATTTGTGTTACCAAGCAATTGAAAAAGTATACCTAATAAAGAGGTCAATGAGTGTATATGCATTGTTCTAATGAGGAATGTCACAGTGTCTTCACCCCTTTATAAGTAATTAGCCTTTAGGGAGTATCTCACCAAAATATTTTTGGGTGAAAATTCCTACTGAAAGGGGATGTGTAAAAGTTTACTTGCATTTTAGTGCAGACTTCTGGCAAAATCAGTGAGCCACAAGCAGAAAATAACATTTCTAGGGAAGTTCTGCAAACCACTGTGTACAGAAGACCTCCAGGTTGCCATATTGCCATGAATTTTATAGAAAATTACAATGCTGCTCACTGAAAAGGGGTAGTTGAAGGGTAGTTTTTAATAATATTAAATTACAATTTGGCTCATGTAGCAATTGTTAATACTATATATTATTTTTATCAGCTATATTTTTCATGAAAATGGAGCTACCCTTTAAAGCAAACCTCTCAGCGATTTTAAATATTTAACACCTTCCCGTCTGGCCTATAGCAGATTGACAGCTGGGCGAGACACTCCTTCTGAGTGGGCATAATATGACGATTGTCACGTGTATATATACCATAGTTTGTGGACTCTATGACTTTCCTACAGACTAAATAATATACATAATTTGGGGTATTTTCACCAAAAAATTTAACAGATTACATTTTGACCTAAATTTGTGAAGAAAGGATATTTATTTGCAAAATAACAGAAACAAAGAAAAAATTTTTTTTTTTCAAAAGCTTCAGGTTTTTTTGTTTATTTAGCAAAACATATAAAAAACTCAGTGCTGATTAAATACCACCAAAAGAAAGTTCTATTTGTGTGAAAAAAATGATAAAAATGTTGTGCATGACCACACAGATGCCATCACTCCTACTGCAGATGTGTGTTTACACGAAACGCGTCTAGGAGGAGCCCCTGCACGCTTTGACTCTACGCCGCCGGATCAGGAGGTCCGGCGGCCCACATTAGATGTATACTGCCCCCGTGATTTAGGTATTGCTGCAGACTTGATGAAGTAAATACTTGGAGATCAGATCGGTATCCTTTCTTTCACCACTGAGGGTCCATCAGTGGATTTCATTTCCGGGCTGTCTTTATTCAAGATCCTAGGATGCATGTGATACAGATATGCGTTTATTACTGGGTTTTCTGGTGAGTAGGCAATCTATTCATATTATCACAACGGGAGACCAGATTGCACCTACAACGTCTGATATTTCACTGTGGACTGAGGAATCCATATATTTTTTATTACAGTGGACTTATTTTAATATTTGACTATATTGATATTATTTTACTGTATTTAATTAATTAATTTTTTTTTTTTGCCATTTAATTTGATGTAGCGCTGCACTCCTTGTACTTTTGAGTTTATTAGAAAGGTTTTGTGGTTCCTTTTAGTGCATTGGTCGCTTGTCGGATTGCGCTCACTAACTTATATATTTTTTGCATGACCACACAATTGTCATTAAAAATGTGAAAACACTGAAAGCTGAAAATTGGCCTGGGTAGGAAGGGGGTAAAAGTGTCCAGTATTGAAGTGGTTACACTTGAAAGTCTCATATCAGTGAAAGTAACAAAAGACAACTGCAGTTCCTTTTATAAGCCACACAAGCCTGCTCTGTGTGCCTTTCTGATCCTGGCTTTTATACTAAAGCCTCAGTCTTACCAATGTGGGGCTTCAGCCTCTAAGCCCCTAAGTCTCTCCTATTTAATGAAGGTGTCTCAATGGCCAAAATAGGTTCTCTCATAAAGATGGTGTGGGGGCCTAGCCCCAAATGTGTAATAATCAAGGCCATGTTAAGAAACATACAGTAGATGAGGAACAGAGGCACACAGAAGGGCTTTTCTCTCTGGTAAAGGTAACAGCCGTACTTTGTGGTGCCTGATTTCATACAGGCTTTTCAGTTTTAATTTTGTTAAAATGGCTGACAACTTTACAGCAAGGAAATCAGGATTCACCCTAGAGTTCAGAGACTTTTGTAAATATTCTCATTTATTTTGCTTAGTACATTTTATATTCACTGATACCATTCATTGTTCACATAGGCAAGTTACATTAACTGATGGTGGTTTTGAACTTTCTATAGCACTAATTTCATGTAGTATTCAGTACCCTGAATGCTGGAAAATTGATATCATAACAGAAAGTTGGATGTACAGTGAACAAATTCCCTCAAGTTTATGGTATACTGTATTTAGGGCATGCTTTCTACTTCGTCTTGTGCATTTATTTAATGTTTTAACCACTGTCTATGTTATTCTGGTAATTAGGCAATGGCTGGTTCCTGGACAAGATTGAGATCTTCACATTATCTACAAATGAAACAAGATTGTTCACCTGTAACAGGTAAGGTAATTTAAAAAGATTAACAATGTATGTATACAAAGGGGCATGACTCATTTCATTTGCATTTCCACTACCACTACTTACCATTACAATTCATTTTTATTGAGTTTAAATTTGGTACAAGTGATAAACATTTTTGGTTTTATATCACAAAGAAAAATAGTAGTTACCACCTTTTCTCATTTTCATTTGCTTTCAATATATAACTGCAGCAGGTGCCCCTGAAAGGCTGGAATGTGGGGGTGTTTAAATTGCAACACCCTTCCAGTGAACTGTTTAGAGATTCTTAAAAGAAATTTGCTAAGAGGCACCATGTAAATATAAAAACACATATTTTTGGTCTTTACCTCAAAAGAGGTAACAGTTAAGAAGAAAGCTCTGCCATATCTATTAGAGATGAGCGAATTATTCAAAAATTCGATTCGACTGATTCGGCGAATTCGTGAAAAAATTTCGATTCGAGTCGAATATATTCGCTGCGAATTTAACTTATAAAAGGGTGTTTTCTAGGCTTCAGAGAGCCTTTATATTAGTGCAGAACACTGTACCTTTAATTTAAATGCCCTTGGAGTCTGCTGGGGAAGAGAAATAATACTGACAGTCAGTATGACATGCAGATGAGTGCCGTCGATCTTAGAATCACCGCACACTTCACTCATTTGGGCAGTCACGGGGCCAAAACCAGAGTGTGGAGCCACAGTGTGGCGGTGGAGGCAGCAGCAATGGGAGGCCATACAGCACCCTATGACAAAAATGGAAACCACCAGCAGTGTGAGGAGACCTGAAAGTGGCACATTGCAGAGTGTGGCGATGGAGACAGCAGCAATGGGAGGCCGTACAGGGACCCATGACACACTCTGGACCTGGCAGCAGCATGAGGAGGCGGTACAGGGGCCCATGACAGATTACGGGCCTGGCAGCAGCATGAGGAGTTGGTACGGGGGCCCATGGCAGATTACGGGCCTGGCAGCAGCAATGGGAGGCCGTACAGGGACCCATGACACACTCTGGACCTGGCAGCAGCATGAGGAGGCGGTACAGGGGCCCATGACAGATTACGGGGCCTGGCAGCAGCATGAGGAGTCGGTACAGGGGCCCATGACACACTCTGGACCTGGCAGCAGCATGAGGAGGCGGTACAGGGGCGCATGACAGATTACGAGCCTGGCAGCAGAAACTTGGACAGGAGGACGTTCAGCTTCTGCACCGTCGGGTGCGTGCTCGCAAACTGTTGTCTCTTGGAAACGGATTCCAAGAAAGACTGCTGACGGAATCCGTGAAGAGGAGTAGCAGGAGAAGGAGCATCTGAACGAGCGGAATATGCCAACAAGCGACAACAGGGGCCCATGACAGATTACGGGCCTGGCAGCAGCATGAGGAGTCGGTACGGGGGCCCATGGCAGATTAGGGGCCTGGCAGCAGCAATGGGAGGCCCGTAATCTGCCAGCACCCTATGACAAAAAATGGAACACACCAGCAGTGTGTGAGGAGACCTGAAAGTGGCACATGGCAGAGTGTGGCGATGGAGACAGCAGCAATGGAGGCCGTACAGGGACCCATGAGAGACTCTGGATTTTTGGCAGCAGCATGAGGAGGCGGTACAGGGGCCCATGGCAGATTAGGGGCCTGGCAGCAGCAATGGGAGGCCCGTAATCTGCCAGCACCCTATGACAAAAAATGGAACCCACCAGCAGTGTGAGGAGACCTGAAAGTGGCACATGGCAGAGTGTGGTGATGGAGAGAGCAGCAATCGGAGGCCGTACAGGGGGACCCATGAGAGACTGTGGACCTGGCAGCAGCATGAGGAGGCGGTACAGGGGCCCATGGCAGATTACGGGCCTGGCAGCAGCAAATGGGAGGCCCGTAATCTGCCAGCACCCTATGACAAAAAATGGAACACAACAGCAGTGTGAGGAGACCTGAAAGTGGCACATGGCATGAGACACTGTGGACCTGGCAGCAGCATGAGGAGGCGGTACAGGGGCCCATGGCAGATTAGGGGCCTGGCAGCAGCTAAGGGAGGCCCGTAATCTGCCAGCACCCTATGACAAAAAAATGGAACACACCAGCAGTGTGTGAGGAGACCTGAAAGTGGCACATGGCAGAGTGTGGCGATGGAGACAGCAGCAATGGGAGGCCGTACAGGGACCCATGACACACTCTGGACCTGGCAGCAGCATGAGGAGGCGGTACAGGGGCCCATGGCAGATTACGGGCCTGGCAGCAGCAATGGGAGGCCCGTAATCTGCCAGCACCCTATGACAAAAAATGGAACACACCAGCAGTGTGAGGAGACCTGAAAGTGGCACATGTTTGGGGCATGATTCATGGCGGATTTAGTCAGTTGTGTCAGGAACTGTTGGTTTGAAATCCAGACTAATCCACGCCTGATTCATTTTCACAAACGTGAGTCTCTCCACACTTTGGGTGGACAGTCGTGTCCTCCGCGGAGTTACAATACCTCCTGCCGCACTAAACACGCGCTCCGATGCCACGCTACTGGCCGGGCATGACAGCCTTTCAAGGGCAAATTCAGCTAGTTGGGGCCAAAGGTCAAGTTTCGTTGCCCAGTAGTCAAGGGGATTGTCTACCTCGGTTGGCAGGGTGCTGCCCAAGTAGGCCTAAGCCTGTTGTTTGAGGTCCTGCTCCAGGTCCACCTGATGCTGCTGCGGCTGGTTAGTAGTTTCCTCACTGCGCTGGTGAAGAAAGCTACTCATCATCGACTGCAGACTGAAACAGCCGCTGCTGGTGGAGCTGCCACTGCTCCTACCACCCCACCCCTCCCCTGCTGCCATGGCAGTGGAAACGCGAGCGCACAGGGCCCACAGTGTCTGAGGATGGACGTTGGCGCAGAAAGGCAGAGACCAGCTGACTACATAGGTGGTTTTTATAGTAGTTATTTTGGCCTCCCTCTCAGCAGGTGTGAAAAAGGCCACCATTTTTGAACGGTAGCAAGGGTCCAACAAGGTGGACAGCCAAAAGTCATCCCTCTGTCTGATGGTTATTATTCGGCTGTCACTACGCAAGCAACCGAGCATGCTATGGGCCATTTGTGCCAAGGAATGCGAGGGACTCCCTGCCTCCATCTCCACAGCATACTGCCACGGTGCGTCTGGGTCCTCTGTCTCCTCCTCCTCCTCCTCTACCAGATGCTCCTGCTCCTCCACTCCTGTCCGCTGAGTGGAAAAACCACCCATTTCACTCAATATTTCCTGAGCACCAATGTCCTCCTCTACCTCCTCCTCTTCTTCCTGTCCTGCCCCCACAGGGGTCATGTGGCGTTGAGATCTGTGCGCCACGTCTACCGCACCCTGACCAGCCATTGTTAACAGCATTTGTTCCAGGACGTGCAACAGAGGAATGACGTCGTTCATCCCATAGTCCTGCCGACTCACGAATAGCGTGGCCTCCTCAAAGGGCCTGAGCAAGCGGCAGGTGTCACGCATAAGCTGCCAATGGCTGACATCGAAGTTACACAGGGGAGTACCTTTATCCGCTTGTAACATCAGGAAATCGGTGATGGCCTTTCGCTGTTCGTAAAGGCGGTCTAACATGTGTAGGGTTGAATTCCACCTTGTGCAACGTCGCAGATCAGGCGATGCTGTGGAATTCCGTTCTGCCGCTGCAGCTCAAGGAGGGTGTGCTTTGCGGTGTAGGAATGGCTGAAATGCATGCAAGTTTACGTGACATTTTAAGGATGTCTTGCAGTGGGATGGTGGATTTTAGGAACCGCTTGAAACCAGATTGAACACGTGAGCCATGCATGGCGCATGGCACAACCTTCCTTGACGCAGAGCAGACACCATGTTCTTTCCGTTGTCGGTCAACATGGTTCCGATTTTTCAGTTTGCGCGGAGACAGCCATCTGTCGATTTCTCTGTTCATTACACTGAGAAGTTCCTCCCCTGTGTGACTACGTTCGCCAAGGCATACCAGGTGCAGCACAGCGTGACACCGTTGCGCCCTGCACATGTGATATGCCGGTCGGGTAATGGGACTTGGCACGGGGTGGCGGCTGAGGACACGAAGGAAGAAGAGGTGGTAGAGGCGGACATCTTTTGTGGACCAAGGACGTGCAAACGTGGAGGCAAAAGCGGCGTGACCTGTCCAAGTTGCTGGTGCGGCTGTGACGGCACCACGTTCACCCAGTGGGCCGTAAATGACATGTACTGTCCCTGACCGTAGTTACAGCTCCACATGTCGGCGCTGCCGTGCACTTTGGCAGAGACCGACATGCTCAAAGACTGGCCCACCATCTCTTCTACATGTGAATGCAGGGCTGGCACTGCCTTTTTGGCGAAGAAATGACGGCTTGGCACTCTCCACCGCGGCGCGGCACAAGCCATCATTTCTCGAAAGGTGCTGAGTCCACCACTTTGAAAGGGAGGGACTGCAGCACCAGCAACTTGGACAGGAGGACGTTCAGCTTTTGCACCGTCGGGTGCGTGCTCGCAAACTGTTGTCTCTTGGAAACGGATTCCAAGAAAGACTGCTGATGGAATCCGTGAAGAGGAGTAGCAGGAGAAGGAGCATCAGAACGAGCGGAAGATGCCAACGAGCGACAACTCCCCTCAGCAGAGGTGTTGGAGCCTTGACTGGCTGATAGAGGCGATTGACGTCGGGTGACGGAGCAAGTAATGGAGCGGGTGATGGAGCGGGGGCTGGGGCGGGCAGAACCGCCGTATCTTTATCACGGTTTTCCCAGGCCACCAAATGGCGATGCTGCATATGCTGCCGCAACGCTGTAGTCCCAACATGGGCCCCCTGGCCACGCTTGACTTTCTGGCCACATAGTCGACATACGACGGCTACGTTTACTTCCTCGCGGCGGCTTGACAAAAAATTGCCACACCGCCGAGTAGGAAACTTTGCCCCCGATACTCCTCACTGGCTGACTGCTGCTTCCTCCGTGCACACCGGCACCACTACTGGCCGTGGTGGTAGGCTGCAGTGGAGCTGGTGCTCTACTCCGTGGCCGTTTGCCTTCACTGACACTGCTGCGACCCTGCTGCCTCCTGGGCAACCCACCGACTGTTTTGCTCGCTGCCAAGCTGCCACCCTCTTCTCCTGATGATGCGGAAGCAATAGCCTGATGACGACGAGGCTGCCAAGTGCGATCAGCCTCATCATCATCAATTAGGGTTCCGCTCACTACTAGCCCCCCCTCGGCTGCGTGTGGGTCAGGAGACAGACCTGTCTCTAGACCGGCTACCGAGCCACTCTCCTCGCCACTACTTCTTCGCCTGGCTGCTGAAGAGGCGGATGTCTCCCCCCGTTCCTGACCGCCCTCTGTTAGCTCTTCCTCACTGTACAGTGGGGCTGAGCCCACAGCATACGATACTTCACTTGGTGAGGGAACACCAAAGGACAGGGGCAGGTCGAGGACACGTGATTTCAGTGGGCTTGCTCCCGGGCCATGCCAACTAACGGTTGTGTCTGACGTACCCACCGACCGTTGGCTGTAGGTGTCAGAGGTGACCTGGGAAGAGGAAGACGACCAAGCCAACCAATCGATGACGGCAGGTTGTCGGTGGAGACACGACCGCTGGATGACACCGGGAGCACTGGCCTCTGGCTGCGACTAGTGCTGCCTCGACCCCTTCCTCTGCTGCCACGTCTGCTCGCTCCTAAAACATTGCTCCTCTGCCACTCCTATGCATGTTGTCTGACATACTCTTTAATTAAACGATTCTGTGTCCCTGAGTAACAATTCTGTGTCTGTCCCTGAGTAACAATTCTGTGTCCCTGAGTACCAATTCTGTGTCCCTCAGTAACAATTCTGTGTGTCCCTCAGTAACAATTCTGTGTCTGTCCCTGAGTAACAATTCTGTGTCTGTCGCTCAGTAACAATTCTGTGTCCCTCAGTAACAATTCTGTGTCCCTCAGTAAACAATTCTGTGTCTGTCCCTGAGTAACAATTCTGTGTCTGTCCCTGAGTACCAATTCTGTGTCCCTCAGTAACAATTCTGTGTCCTCAGTAACAATTCTGTGTCTGTCCCTGAGTAACAATTCTGTGTCTGTCCCTGAGTAACAATTCTGTGTCTGTCCCTGAGTAACAATTCTGTGTCCCTGAGTAACAATTCTGTGTCCCTCAGTAACAATTCTGTGTCTGTCCCTGAGTAACAATTCTGTGTCCCTGAGTAACAATTCTGTGTCCCTCAGTAACAATTCTGTGTCCCTCAGTAACAATTCTGTGTCCCTCAGTAACAATTCTGTGTCCCTCAGTAACAATTCTGTGTCTGTCCCTGAGTAACAATTCTGTGTCCCTAAGTAACGTTTCTGTGGCCCTAAGTAACGGTTTCTGTGGCCCTCAGTAACAATCTGTGTCCCTCAGTAACAATTCTATGTCCCTCAGTAACAATTCTGTGTCTGTCCCTGAGTAACAATTCTGTGTCTGTCCCTGAGTAACAATTCTGTATCTGTCCCTGAGTAACAATTCTGTGTCTGTCCCCTGAGTAACAATTCTGTGTCTGTCCCTGAGTAACAATTCTGTGTCTGTCCCTGAGTAACAATTCTGTGTCCCTCAGTAACAATTCTGTGTCCCTGAGTAACAATTCTATGTCCTGAGTAACAATTCTGTGTCCCTCAGTAACAATTCTGTGTCCCTCAGTAACAATTCTGTGTCCCTGAGTAACAATTCTGTGTCCCTCAGTAACAATTCTGTGTCCCTCAGTAAACAATTCTGTGTCCCTCAGTAACAATTCTGTGTCTGTCCCTGAGTAACAATTCTGTGTCTGTCGCTGAGTAACAATTCTGTGTCCCTCAGTAACAATTCTGTGTCTGTCCTGAGTAACAATTCTGTGTCTGTCCCTGAGTAACAATTCTGTGTCCCTCAGTAACAATTCTTTGTCCCTCAGTAACAATTCTGTGTCCCTGAGTAACAATTCTGTGTCCCTCAGTAACAAATCTGTGTCCCTCAGTAACAATTCTGTGTCTGTCCCTAGTAACAATTCTGTGGCACTAAGTAACGTTTCTGCGGCCCTAAGTAAAGTTTCTGTGGCCCTAAGTAACGATTCTGTGGCCCTAAGTAACGTTTCTGTGGCCCTAAGTAACGGTTCTGTGTCCCTCAGTAACAATTCTGTATCCCTCAGTAACAATTCTGTGTCTGTCCTGAGTAACAATTCTGTGTCCTAAGTAACAATTCTGTATCTGTCCCTGAGTAACAATTCTGTGTCCCTAAGTAACGTTTCTGTGGCCCTAAGTAACGGTTCTGTGGCCCTCAGTAACAAATCTGTGTCCCTCAGTAACAATTCTGTGTCTGTCCCTAAATAAAAATTCTGTGGCACTAAGTAACATTTCTGTGGCCCTA